ATCTTTATCTTTATCTTTATCTTTATCTTTATCTTTATCTTTATCTTCACCATTATCTTTATATTTATCTTTATCTTTGACACCTCATATTTGAAAATCGAACGAAAGATACAGATCTCATAACGCGGTGTTAAATATTTAAACCAAACATCTCCGAGCTCGATAAAGAAGTTTCACTTCAAAAACGCAACTGTTTATATATATATTACAAAAATATTTAACTCAAGTTAACTGAGTCAATGTAGGTACTGTGTCATCAATTCCATAATTATCGCGTAAATACTTGCTTATATTTCACTTGACAGTATAGAAATCCTTCGCAAAAAAAAAAATAAATCAATATTTATCACTTTGAAACGCGTGTGTAGTAGATAATGCAAACAACCTTTAAAGCTTATTATTATTTCTACTTATTCACGTATTTTCATGTTCTTATGATTTATGTAGGTATTCATTTTCCTTTCATCGATGCACTTACCTGAAAATGCTCGGAACAATGTGTGCAGCCGAAAAAGTATTTCACATACCCATGTATGGCTGTTAGCACTTCTAGCGGATCGTTATTGACATCTCGACGCGCTGCTTGCACCGTAAGGTAATGGAAAAGTGTCCACAGCGAACAAGTATAGCCACGTTTGTTATGCTGAGAGGCCACACAGCCGACAAAGTGATTCGATGAGAATATGGGGCCGAAAGTCTTATTCAAATGTTCCACCTCGGATTGAAAATCGGCACCTTTCAACGATTCGTTTGTATTCAGCACATATTCGTTGATGCGTCGGATGACTTCATTGCCTTGTGGGCCAAGTGGATGATAGCGTTGCAATACGGCGAGCATACGCTGCAGTGCTAACAATTGTTCGCCGTGTATTTCATGCGCTTTTGGAAGTTCGTTGAATAACATTTGCCGTATGGCCATTTCTAGATCAGACTGAAAATAAAAAGAAAACAAAGTTTAAACAACTGTTTGTGCTAAAAGGTCGTGCGTAATGGGGCACAAATAAAATACATACATATGTACATATTTAGATACTTAATGAAGTTTAACAAGTAGTTTTTAAGCAAAACACAAAACCGACTTAAATTCTCATATAAAAATACCAGATTAGTATGGGACCACCTCTGAGACACTACCTTTCCGAATTATCGAAATCGGTTGACGACCAAGTTAAGCGGTAAAGTACATAAAAAAATTAAATAAAAAAAAAAAGTTTTCCGACGAACTTATAACCTCCTCCTTTTTTGGAAGTCGGTTAAAAATAGTTTCGTTCCTCAACTTTTCTGGATAAAACTTGGAAAAACTGTCAAAAAACAAAATTTCACACAGAGAATGAGACAAATACTAAAAAGTACGGGAAAGGTTTTCGGGTAAAAACTGATAATTATAGGTTCATTCCTTATCTTTTTGTACTAAAATCTGAAAAGTGTCAAAATGCCAGAGCGTAAGCAAAATGCGCTCACTAAAAGAGAATAACAGGAAAAGTAAAGGAACGCAAAAAACCAAATTTTTAGTCCAAAGAATGCCAACAACATAGCTAACGTCAAATAAGAATGGAAATGTATGTACAAAACACATTCACACAAGCACAAGCACAATAAACACTTACTATACTATATCAGTTATTTTTTGCCTCCTTCTAATTTCAATTCACTTTTTTTACTTTTTAGATTATTCTCACTTTTTGCATATTCTTTAATTTCCGTTAATTTAAATTTAGTTGAGTGTGACACTTTTCAGGATTTTGCCAGAAAAAATTCTTCTGACTAAATCTGACTACTTCGGACTGATGAGAGTCACTCTCACTGGGTGTTGCTCTCTCATTGTAGCTGTCATTTCCGAGTTAAGGAACGCTTTTTGGACTAAATCTGACTACTTCGGAATTTTTCTGACTATTTCTGGGAGATAAGGAACGCTCCTTATGTCGAATACATCGTAGACGCCATTTTTTATTTACATCGTCCTTGGTTGCATTTCAAACATAACACATTTTTACTGGCATGAGGGCCATTTTTTTTAGTAATATGAGAAAGAAGGATCTATAAAAAATAAAGGCGGTATTTTATTAAAAAGTTCATTGCACCTACGTGATGCTACATATTTTATTAAAAGAATACTGAAGGGCGGTGCCTCGGACTATTACCGTTTCGATTATAATACTGTATTTTAACTTCTTTTGATATGTCAGTTAGGCTACTCTGGCCCTCATGGCCTCATATACATACTCTTCTTATTTGCACTTTCTTCAACATACGCTTCCATTTCTTTGTCGTAGTATCTATTTCGGGTTTCCTATATCGATCAATCGATTACCTCTTAAATAATCTAAATTAAATAAATATACTCATCATTCATACATTCAACAAAAAGTTGAGCGAAAGCTGAACAATGCAAACGCTGCATTAAGTAAACAAATGTTCTATATATATATATTTAATTCTTCACTCATACGTCTTAGATTAGATAGAGCGATCTGAAACAGCTACAGAATTGAATTATATACCAAATTAGAGTGCAAGCCCCATAGGTTATCCAAAAGATTTCAAAGCAGTGAAATAGGTGACGAAATATAAGCATTTTTTTTATAATTTTAACTACCGTTATCACAAACAATAGTATAATATTCAATAGTAAATAATTACTGTTTGTGCAAAACGAATTATTCAGCTTCCGCAGCTCCAGTGTCAAAAATGTTCAACAGAAAAGTACACCAATGACTGTGTGGTAAAACCTTAAACAAATAGAAGCTATTTTGCATAATAAAAACCGTTATATTATTTTTCCATGATATAGTATGGCCCATAACACCCCGTGGCATTAAACTATCTAAAGAAAAGCCCGGAAATATAACAGGAATGAATTTTTGTGGCATGAAAGGTAGCTACATAATTGCTGAAGTAATCAGATGAATTCCATTGAATCTGAAAAGGTTTAATTTAATTTATTACCAGTTTGATTTAATTTGAAAAAAGTTTCGTTCGTTTCGAAACAGGTTTCATTTAATTTGAAAAAGGTTTCATTTAATTAAAAAAAAATTCAAATAAACCTAGAAAAGTGTTTGCCTTTGCAGTTGTATTAAAAAAGTTTACATTTACATATGTACTTACATACAGCTATGGACAATGATTTAGCGTAAAAATTATAAATTCTAACAAGTAATTTGTCTCATATAAAATATAAGATTATCGTTAGTTTCCTCACAATCCATTTATCGGATTTAAACAAAATTAGTATGGGACGACCACCCCTGAGGTACCACCTTTCCGATGAAAACAGAATTATCGAAATCGGCTACCGTGGTCCAAAGTTATGCGGTAACATACATAAATTAAAAATAAAAAAAAATATTCCGACGAGCTGATAACTTCCTTCTTTTTGTGAAGTCGGTTAAAAAAGCAACTGCAATTTTTGAAAATTGCGCTTTATTAGATTAAAATTGAATGGGCTACAAAACTGCATATCCGAAAATTTTCTAGATTAAAAAAGTTGAAATTTTGATGACTATATGTTTGATTAATTTTTGGGAAATTTGTGCAAGCTATTAAACTCTAATTTATCTGGTTTCTGTTATAGATTAAGTTATATTTTAAATGGAAATTATTAAAAATAAACATAAACTACAATGAATATCATTTTCAATTTCGACGCTAAATCATTGACCATAGTGTAGTTTAGTTTAGTTTATTTATATACATAACTTGAAGAAATAATTCTCTTCAACTTGAGTATTTTTCATAAAAAATATAAAGTTTTCGCGTTGATTTAAAAAAATCATGATTGAATTATTTTCATTGGTTCACGAGTAATAAATATTTGAGGAAATTCACACATTATTGTTGGAGTGAAATCATAGTTATAAATAATGCGGCAGTTGCAATCACCACCTGTTCTAAAAATGCATTTTTGAGCTTTTGCGTTCATAAAATATGGGTAATTATTTTAACGCGAAAATTGCTTAGACATGTCGTAAACTCATGTCATAGCTAGCATTTTTTATACGATAGTACAAATTGCCAACAATAACTCTAACTTACATTTAGCGTCATGCCTAGCTTAAAAACAGCAATAAATATGTGTATTATATCTAAGCATGTGGGTATGTAATACTATGTCCATGTATGTATGTCCGCATTCGGAATTTTTCACATTCGTAAATAGATACATATGTATGTATGTATGTACATGCATGATTTTAAACTGAGTTTAATGAATGATATACTAATTTACGACAAATTATTTGAAAATGTTTTTACGATATGAAAACTACGCATCTATTGTATAATTATTAATTGACGTTTAGATTTACTAAATAGAGGATTTTACGATAATTGCTTTATTATTTGAGTGTAACATGCATACGTACATATGTAAATATGTATGTATGTATGCATGTACACATCGTCAACTGAAGTGCAAAAAGACGTAACAAACATCGTCGGTGAAATGCTAAAGTCCTAACTAACCAAAAATTAAAAATTCACTTTTTAATTGATTTCATCGAATTACAACTCCACACACCGTTTTATGCAAAAAAAAAAAATGTATTAGTCACGGCTTTATGCATCTCAGGTGACGATATATTTCGCTCATGGGTGTGCCAGGAAACGCGTTTAAAATTTTAAATTTCAATTTAGCACGAATTTTTTACACTATATACTTAGCACTTTTGGCTTGGGCTAGTACCGCTAGTTTCTAATTAAAGGGTAATTGCTTCAAATTGTTCTCTTATATATGTATATGTTGTGTGTATATATTTATAGCAAATACTTACCAACAAATTTGGTTCACTACCTTTCGAGAACCATTGCGAAAACAGTGAAAGTATATTTTTTTTACTATGGTATTACTTGACAAGTAAGTATAGAATTTTTGTTGTTTTTATATAAAAAAAAATATTATTTTTGCTTGTATTTTTTTAGAAACTGTTTGGATCTCCGTGCTTCTGAATACATGCAAAAGTTTTTTCAATCTTTATAGAATACAATGGCGTCTGGGAACTTGTGCTCGAAAGTAGAGCTCTAGATACCCGGGTATCGAGCAATGCGAGTAGCTCGATACTCGCTCGAAACTCGTTCATTGCTCAACTGCTCAAATGTTTGTTCAAAATTTTCGAGTTTTTGAACAATTTCATAAACAAAAGAAATTTTGTAAATTGTATTTGTCAGCAGCTGCTTTCTAATTCATGTTAAATAAATTATATTATTAAATACCAGTGTAGCAATCTTTGCATTATATATCAATAATTTGAAAAATTTAAAAAGTTGCTACCAAAAATGTCAATATAATAAAAAAAAACATTGCTCAAATTACTCGAAAATTTTCGAGTAATGAGCATTGAACAAATGTGCGAGTACTCGCTGCTGATATTCCCGGGCTGTTTGAAAATGTGCGAACAAAATCGAGAGCTCTACTCGAAAGTAAACGGCTATCTCTCCGAGCTTTCTTGCATCTTCACTGCAAGGAGCCTAACCCTCTTTCCTACAAAATCCACGGCAACCTTATGCGACACTTGGACGGCGGAGGTCAGACTGCAGCTGAGTATTCACGTCGATGGCGAATCAATTCCGACGGTGAATAACCCAAAAATCCTCGGAGTTACCTACGACAGTCTGCTCTCCTTCTCAGCGCATACAACCGCAACAGAGTACAGAGCCGCAACAAGGTCCTCAAGTCGCTGACCGGAAGCATTTGGGGCAAAGACAAAGAAACGTTGTTGGCAACATACAAGACAATTGGCCGGGTATTTCAGAACTATGCAGCGCCTATGTGGACAGGCGGCAGGACAACAACAACATATCCCCAACATAACCTGCACGACGAGGTCCGTATGCTCCCAATTAAGGAGCATAACACAATGCTCTGCGAGCAATTCCTAGTAAGGTGTCAACCTTCTAAGGTTGAACCCTTGTGATGGAACATCAGAAGGAATCTAT